CACAAAAAGTACGTTGACAACTAAACGGGCAGACTTACGGAGGGTTATATAGCCGTATTTCTAGTACGAATAACACCCCTAACACAATTCTTTGAAGGATATATATTGTTTACTTCAAAAATGAAATCGACAATCAGATTAAACCATCCGCTATTTAATTGCAAAACAAGCAACAACAAAAAATGTAAGCGGAAAAGTATTATATATATAAAAGAAAAAAATCAGAGACATGATAATTGTGCTATTTCCCAATTATTTAATGTATTCAGTATGTCCACCACTTACGTTTTCTTCACCAAACGGCGTTTTAAAATTTATAATGTATTCATTTTTTTCTCTTTATTTTTCAAAAACTTCGTGTTACCGTTACGACAGAAAGTTTCAACACTTTTTTTGTGTTCTAAAATATAATAATTTCGTTTTTCTGGTCTAAAATGTGTTTATACTGTTTTGAATCTCGATAAAAAAGAATTGTCTTTAACTCGCCATAGAAAAATTCGACCAGGTTCGACCTCTTAACCACGTATACCATCAGTAGTTGATATGTCTCCTCTTGTCAATCATACAGGTCTTATTTCCCGAGTGCAACCAATGCAAGTGCTATGGCAATTTAATTTTACGTGCCTGTTAAGTCCATTTTCCATAATTTCTCTATTTTATTATTTCAACAACAGCATAACCTTTTTATTTGTTGACCGATTTTCTCCAAATAAATTACAATCAGAACAATTTTTACAACCAGACGCTTATCATTGCTACCGCCTCACGGCATATTTTTACTTGAGACAGGTAACGCATATTAATTATCAGCTGATAAGACGCGTGCCCGATAATTTAAATATAATTATGATAAGAAATTAGTCTATTGGGAGGATGTCGGCAGATATCATCTACATCACAGGCCACTTCGCGCCGTGCCGTGCGTTTGATATTTCAAAGGAAACTACATGGGGCTCAGTGTGATATATTCTGAGTACTTTATCTATGGCTATTATATCTATGTTTATACATAGTTTGATTTTCATTACACTCAGTAGTCATTATTTTAGGATTTTCCCAGGATGTGTGTTTTCTTTACTGTTGAGATGAAACAGATTTATTATCATATCTCAATCAGTTAGATGTGAAGTTTATCACATGTTCTTAGCAGGAGGTTTAATTACATCAGTTCCAATACAAATATACATGTCTTGTTAATTAGTGACCACTTGTGGCATTTGGCTTCCTTTGTCCTTTGTTCTGTATACATTAACCTGGGTGCAGTTTTAACTCCTCCCACTTAGGAGCATCCCATTAAGAAGTTGTGTATTAAAAACCTGTGTATGCTGCCTTGAGTATCCATTTATCTAAATGCAGATTAAGCAGTTATTAGACTAATCTTGGCTCTAATAGTGTTTTAGCTAAAAACTTGCCACCCACTGACCCCTCCTTTCACCTTCAATATTGCCATGACAGGGGAATCAATCTCAGCACAGTTTATAGCAGATTTATAGATTTCATTTATGAAATTTTATCACTGGTTGTTTCAAAAATTTCACTCATCCCCCAAGAATTTCTGGGGATAAACTGTCAAATTTCATACAAATTCATTCCAACACCAATTCAACATCAACACTACTAAGCTTCCTCATAGCCTCCTTATAGGCTTCCTCATAGCCTCCTTATAGGCTTCCTCATTGCCTCATTATAGGCTTCCTCATAGCCTCATAGGCATGATAGCCTCTAGGCATGATAGCCTCATAGGCTTCCTGATAGCCTCACACATTTATTTTGAACCATCGTTCCAATTGGATTGGTGTGATGTCAAGCCAGGGGTCTATACTTTGCTACTTTTCAGTATGCACATAGCTAGGCTCTTGGTTTAGGCATGGAGCAAAAAATTAAAATTTTTAGCTGAGTAGATTCCCCAAGGGCTAAATTAGTGATGTATATATAAAATAAAAGTTTTAATTCAATTATGATTTATGTTTAATTCAAACATGGATGCCACTGGCATTGCTACACAATATTTCCCAGGAGTTTATTTACAAGATAGGTTATAACAGGAAAAATTTAGGTTGATAATAATGTTGATGTGAGCACAAAATCCTTAATTTTACATATCATGAGTTCAAATGGTGAGTTCTGAAAGAAATCAGGGGTAATTAAATTATTTAAATTACTATGAACTCATTATGTGTGACTTTGAGGATTTTGTTCACTGACACATTTATTAGCAAAAGTCGAAATATAGGGCAGAAAGTTACATCAGGATGGTTAAATTGTCAGGTCAAAGAAATTTGCAAGAAGGTATCAGGTTGGATGTTTACTCAGGTGTTAACACACATTTCCCTATTACATAACAGACTAACACTTACCAAAGAAAAGATACAGTATAAACAACAGACAATTAAAATAAGATTAGTACAACATCACATCAAACATAAATTAATTTACCCTAAAAATATTTACAAAGAATCAGAACACAATGCAAACATGGAACAAATGACAATTAAACATATTCAGGACCTTTTCTGAGAATTTTGTATAAATCAAATAATTGCTTTTTGTGCAATCAATCCTTAATATTCTTGAATCCTGAGGGTAATAATGATATAAAAAATGTATAACTTTCAAACTAACCCAGAAAACATTTATGAAAAATATAAAATTGAGTGTTTTTTTGTTTGTTGCTTTTTTTAAAGTAACCCGTACCTGCAAATATATCAATTAACAGATTGACTAATAAATACAACTTAAATGAAATGTACAACAGTGCATTGCTACATCCTCTAAAGCAGCTAACTTAATTTTGATAACAAAACATTTTACCAAGAAGCTGTGAAAATCATAAGTCAAAGAAAAGGGAAGACATCACACAATTGTCAAAATTAAATAACACTAAAATAAAATAGATATAAGAAGATGTGGTATGAGTGGTATGTGGAAAGACACACTATAAAATATCAATTGAAATGGCTTAACTCAATCAAAAGACATATTAACACCAGTGAACATACACTGAACAAATAGATTTGATCTATGACACAATGTAAATACAAAATAAATAAACTAAGGGAAGAATAATTAAAGTAACATGTTATACCGATGTGAAATGTTAAACAATCTAAGAACAAGAGTGCACACGCTGAAATGTCTCGCCTTCTTTACTAATCATTGATATAATGTTGATAGTCCTAAATATAAAGATTTATTACAACTGTCACATAAACTTAACATTAACCAAGAAAACTAAACACTGACCAATGAACCATGAAAATGAGGTCAAGGTCAGATGAACCATGCCAGGCAGACATGTACAGTTAACAATTCTTCCATATAACAAATATAGTTGACCTATTGCTTATAGTTTAAGAAAAACAGACCAAAACACAAAAACTTAACACTGAGCAATGAACCGTGAAAATGAGGTCAAGGTCATATAAAACCTGCGCGACTGACATATAGATCATAAAATATTTCCATACACCAAATATAGTTGACCTATTGCATATAGTATTAGAAAAAAAGACCAAAACTCAAAAACTTAACTTTGACCACTGAACCATGAAAACGAGGTCAAGGTCAGGGTCAGATGACACCTGCCAGCTAGACATGTACACCTTACAATCATTCCATACACCAAATATAGTAGACCTATTGCATACAGTATAAGAAAAACAGACCAAAACACTAAAACTTAACTATAACCACTGAACCATGAAAATGAGGTCAAGGTCAGATGACACCTGCCAGTTGGACATGTACACCTTACAGTCCTTCCATACACCGAATATACTAGACCTATTGCTTAGAGTATCTGAGATATGGACTTGACCACCAAAACTTAACCTTGTTCACTGATCCATGAAATGAGGTCGAGGTCAAGTGAAAACTGTCTGACGGGCATGAGGACCTTGCAAGGTACGCACATACCAAATATAGTTATCCTAATGTTATAATAAGAGAGAATTTAACATTACAAAAAATGTTAACTTCTTTTTCAAGTAGTCACTGAACCATGAAAATGAGGTCAAGGACATTGGACATGTGACTGACGGAAACTTCGTAACATGAGGCATCCATATACAAAGTATGAAGCATCCAGGTCTTCTACCTTCTAAAATATAAAGCTTTTAAGAAGTTAGCTAACGCCGCCGGATCACTATCCCTATGTCGAGCTTTCTGCGACAAAAGTCGCAGGCTCGACAAAAACAATATGCTTGAACAAAAATATCAGCCATTTGCAATTACTTTAAACACAGGTACTGGTAAATGAAAATAATTTTGTTGTTAGGTATACGTGTACAGTTCAAATGGAGAAAGGAAATATTTTTACAAAATAAATAATTTAATAAAAAGCACTGCAAAGAAAGATTCAGTTTGGTCAACATGAATACTATCAAAAAACAATGAGTGAACCATGGTGGTCCAGGTTATATATGTAGATATAAGAAGATGTGGTATGAGTGCCAATGAGACAACTCTCCATCCAAGTCAAAATTTATAAAAGTAAACCATTATAGGTCAAAGTACTGTCTTCAACACGGAGCATTGGCTCAAACTGAACAGCAAGCTATAAAGGGCCCCAAAAATTACTAGTGTAAAACCATTCAAACGGGAAAACCAACGGTCTAATCTATGTAAAAAAAGTAGAGAAACGAGAAACACTTATGAACCACATCAACAAACGACAACTACTGAACATCAGATTCCTGACTTAGGACAGGTGCAAACAATTGCAATTGATTTGAGATTTTTAGATCAGTATAATATCATTATATCATTAACAGTGCTATAATCAGAGCGTACTGGAGACTCTCAGTCCAAATTCAATGACAATGATGATACTTAATGATGATACTTCAACAATTGAAATCATTGATGAAAATTTCACATTAAGGTATTGGATTGGATATTACTGGGTATTATCATTTCTACATGCGTAAAACTTATTAATCAGCGTGACGTATAATGATTGACAGACTCATATATAAGGAAAAAATCAAAGCTATGTTTGTAAAAACGTAAAATCATTTTATACAGAGAGGAAAAGTACATTATTCTAAAACATTTTGTGAGAAATGTATAAAACTAATGAAAATAATCGAATGTTACTTCGAGATAGAAATATAGAATTTGGAAAAAATATAAGATACAATTACTTTCCTAACTGGTAAGAACTTTTTTGCATATAAAGTTTAATGAACATTTTAATCATGAGTGAAACAACCATGTTTAGGGAAAATATAACTGACAACATCACCATGACAACATCCATTCCTCAGATCGGAGGAGGAATGGACCCACCAAGAAGACCAACATTGCCTGAGCTCCTTATGGCGTATTCAGAATATGTCTGGGCAGTAAATCTTGGAACTTATGTGTTTCCCATTATAATAGGACTAGGAACAATTGGGAATGTTTTAAGTTTTCTAATCATGATAAGGAGAACCATGATTATAACTCCAACATGCTTTTACATGGCAATACTGGCCATCTCTGACACTACCATTCTCTATGTAGACTGTCTTAGGAAGTGGGTTTTCCTTATGTACGGGGAAGATGCCTGGAACATCAATACAGCAGCATGTCGGGCATTTTATTATCTAAGTTATTCTTCATTTCACTATTCGGTATGGATTATTGTTGCTATGACTACAGAAAGATTTTTTGCAATTCGGTACCCACTAAAATTTTTGACAGTTGGAAGCATTAGAAAAACAAAAGTGGCATGTCTAATTATTCTGATTTGTGTTTTGCTGCTCAATTGTCAGTTTACTTGGTCAGTGAAAATAAACCAAAATGGAAACTGTGTGCCAGAAGAAGGCTATTCAATCTTTCACAAAGATGTGATGCCTTGGATTGATGCTGTTTTTTATTCATTTCTACCATTTGTAATATTAATTACATTTAATGTGTTAATTATTTGTTCGTTCAGAAAGGCCCACAGAAGACAGAAAACTCTCCATGGCAACCCTACTTCACATAAATCTGCATCACAGAATCGCACATCTATAAACCACAGAATGACAGCAATGTTGTTGTCAGTCACTTTTACTTTCATTATAATGACTGCTCCAAAAGCAGTTCTATTCTGTATAAGGAATGAAGTTTTCAAGTTCCTTAAGTATAACACATATGATTTTCAAGAGATTGCACTGTACACTCTAATAAGTCGCATTGCTGACTTGTGCATCTATACAAATCATGCAATTAATTTTTTCCTTTATTGTGTAAGTGGACAGAGATTCAGAAAAGAAATGAAACTGCTGTTTTTATGTCGCAAAACACGTAGTGCAAGTCTATCGCTTTATTCATCAAAATGTCTGCCATCATCACGTTACCAAACGATGCAGACAGGGAGCAGGGGATCATATGAGAATGACAATGGACTGGAATCATATCACACAATGCGCACAGTCAGCAGTACTTTAGGATCAAACAATAATGAAAATTGCCAGGATGTAAATGAACAAAATGAACCTGAAAACATTCTGTGAGTAAATCACATGCTATAAGTCATTGTATGTAATCATTAAAATACTGTTGTATCTTAATCAGTTTTACTTTTATTTCTTTCAGTTTGTCCAAATATGTATTTGGTGATTACAGCACATTCATCCTTTTGATGTAGCCAATAAAAAGTTTCATAGTAATTATAAATAATGATTTAAAACTTCTGCATGGAGTATGCCAAAGAGAGAAGTTGAAATCCCCCTTTTGTCCTAATCATTTGGATAAAAATCATTAGAGTTGTAGTGCTTGAATAGGCAGATGCCTTGCAGATTACTTCTTGAAATATGTTCTTCATAAAGTGAAATGCATATGCATTGTGAACAAAGATAGCTGTTAATATGTTTCATATTTTTTTACTGAAATGAAAATCTTAATGTGCAAACAAATGTTTCAAATTTTATTTACAGTTTTCAAAGAAAACGAAAAATTAGGAATGATGGTTATAAGAAAAAAATTATTTGTGAAATTCTGGAAAATATCAACAGAAAAAAATAATGAACTAATGTTCAGTATTACAAATATTTATTGAATTAGTTGAAAAGAGTATTCTTTCAATTCAGTATTAATGAATTCATTTATTAGTAATTATAATTCATTAATTAGTAATTATTATTCTCATCAGAAAAATGATACATTGTTTAAAAGTTCATAAACAATTAATATATATCATCATTTATAACTCTTGATATCTTTTTATGACCAAATATGGTAATTTTCAATTTCACATTCCTAACAAATATCAATTATTCAAAATAATTCAAATAATTGCTTTTTGTTCAATCAATCCTTAATATTCTTGAATCCTGAGGGTAATAATGATATAAAAAAATGTTTAACTTTCAAACTAACCCAGAAAACATTTATGAAAAATATAAAATTGAGTGTTTTTTTGTTTGTTGTTTTTTTTAAAGTAACCCGTACCAGGTGTCAACGTATATTTGTTCCGCCTAACAGAAGTTCCACTGGAAACTTTGTTATAAACAATGTCATAATATTTGTTCCTGTTGGAACAAATATTCTATACCATTTATTCCGTTAGGAACATTTACTGTAATATTTATTCCAATGGAAATAATATTCCAGAATATTGTTTCCATTTGGAACTTATATTATGAAGGAACTTCTATTCCGTGACACCTGCAAATATATCAATTAACAGATTGACTAATAAATACAACTTAAATGAAATGTACAACAGTGCAATGCTACATCCTCTAAAGCAGCTAACATAATTTTGATAACAAAACATTTTACCAAGAGGCTGTGAAAATCATAAGTCAAAGAAAAGGGAAGTCATTACACAATTGTCAAAATTAAATAACACTAAAATAAAATAGATATAAGAAGATGTGTTATGAGTGGTATGTGGAAAGACACACTATAAAATATCAATTGAAATGGCTTAACTCAATCAAAAGACATATTAACACCAGTGAACATACACAAATAAATTTGATCTATGATACAATGTGAATACAAAATAAATAAACTAAGGGAAGAATAATTAAAGTAACATGTTATACCGATGTGAAATGTTAAACAATTTAAGAAAAACAATATGATTGAACAAAAATATCAGCCATTTGCAATTACTTTAAACACAGGTAAATGAAAATAATTTTGTTGTTAGGTATACGTGTACAGTTCAAATGGAGAAAGGAAATATTTTTACAAAATAAATAATTTAATAAAAAACACTGCAAAGAAAGATTCAGTTTGGTCAACATGAATACCATCGAAAAACAATGAGTGAACCATGGTGGTCCAGATTATATATGTAGATATAAGAAGATGTGGTATGAGTGCCAATGAGACAACTCTCCATCCAAGTCAAAATTTATAAAAGTAAACCATTATAGGTCAAAGTACGGTCTTCAACACAGAGCCTTGGCTCAAAATAAACAGCAAGCTATAAAGGGCCCCAAAAATTACTAGTGTAAAACCATTCAAACAGGAAAACCAACGGTCTAATCTATATAAAAAAACGAGAAACGAGAAACACTTATGAACCACATCAACAAACGGCAACTACTGAACATCAGATTCCTGACTTAGGACAGGTGCATACAATTGCAGCGGGTTTATATGTTTTAATGGTACCAAACCTTCACCCTTATCTGAAACAATAGTGTAACAACACAACATACAAAAGACACCTGTACCTGTACCTGTATTATAAATGAATATGGGCGAGTAGAGACCAAAATGCTATTTTTCAGAGCTTCTGAACTAATATAAAAAAGAATATTTAGAATAATAGTTCTCAATATAAATAACTTATAAGGAGATGTGGTATGATTGCCAATGAGACTAACTCATAAGGAGATGTGGTATGATTGCCAATGAGACTCACTAATGAGGAGTTGTGGTATGATTGCCAATGAGACTAATAAGGAGATGTGGTATGATTGCCAATGAGACTAACTCATAAGGAGATGTGGTATGATTGCCAATGAGACTAACTCATAAGGAGATGTGGTATGATTGCCAATGAGACTAACTAATAAGGAGATGTGGTATGATTGCCAATGAGACTAACTAATAAGGAGATGTGGTATGATTGCCAATGAGACTAATAAGGAGATGTGGTATGATTGCCAATGAGACTAATAAGGAGATGTGGTATGATTGCCAATGAGACTAACTCATAAGGAGATGTGGTATGATTGCCAATGAGACTAACTCATAAGGAGATGTGGTATGATTGCCAATGAGACTAACTGATAAGGAAATGTGGTATGATTGCCAATGAGACTAATAAGGAGATGTGGTATGATTGCTATTGAGACTAACTAATAAGGAGATGTGGTATGATTGCCAATGAGACTAACTAATAAGGAGATGTGGTATGATTGCCAATGAGACTCACTAATGAGGAGATGTGGTATGATTGCCAATGAGACTCACTAATGAGGAGATGTGGTATGATTGCCAATGAGACTAACTAATAAGGAGATGTGGTATGATTGCCAATGAGACTAACTAATAAGGAGATGTGGTATGATTGCCAATGAGACTCACTAATAAGGAGATGTGGTATGATTGCCAATGGGACTAACTAATAAGGAGATGTGGTATGATTGCCAATGAGACTCACTAATAAGGAGATGTGGTATGATTGCCAATGAGAGTAACTAATAAGGAGATGTGGTATGATTGCCAATGAGACTAACTAATAAAATATATAAGGAGATGTGGTATGATTGCCAATTACAATAACTAATAAGGAGATGTGGTATGATTGCCAATGAGACTAACTATCAACCTGAGACCAAAGGAAGAGGATGTAAACAACTTTAGGTTACAGTGCCGCCTTTAGTAAAACCCATTCCGTACAGTAAGCTATAAAAAGCATGACAAAATAACACTATTCAAAGATCTGCCTACATTGTTAAATCAATAACCTTTAGTAACAAGTTTATTTTCGAAGGACCAATAAGTTTACATGAATTGTATCTAAACTTACAGGACCCATAACATTACGGTAAAAAAATAAGGTTTTATCAGGTACAGCCAAACTTCAATACCAAATCTTTGTATCAATGAAAGAGTTTAGTAATGGTTTAATTAATTTGTGGTAACAAAATTCCTTATTTAATAATTAACCATTAAATATATAGACTAGGCTCATTGAAATCAAAAACAAGACTACAGAGACAATAACTTGAGTATCAGTTTATGGATCTTTATGAAATTGTACACGAGGTTCCATACCACAAAAGTAAGGTTGGTATTAATTTTGGGGTTTATGGCCCTAACCTTTTAAGAATTTTGGGCCAAAAAGGGGCCTTAGTCATTCTGTTGTGTGTTTTCAGAGGAGTTGTGATGACAAGAACAGGACTGATGAACGGATAGACTGATAGATGCCCTGATGCCCAGAAAGATGGATATACGGACAGACGCGTCAAAACATTACACCCTAGGGAATTATCAAATTATCAGCATTTTCATTCCAATATAACAATCCACTTCAATAACAATTTAGACATTTCCAACATATACTTAAAAACAATTTCCTATATATTGACATTTCTGTACAAACGGAAATTACTCAAACCACAATTAAAGGTAATCCACTCTAAAACACACAACATTAATGTAATCTTTTGATATAACTTTTCAGAATAATTCTAACCACAAATTCACAAATCTGATTAAAATAACATCCCAACCACTTAGAATTACAATCCCATAAACCACAATTACCAATTCATGCCCAATTTCATCCCAAAGTATTATCCTATTTTGCAAAAAAAAAAAAAAAATCTTCATTTATAATAATTCTATTATCCTTTTAACTTAGATATAATTTTATTCTGCATTTCATTTCCACTACATCATTCATTCCTTAAATTGCTAAATTATCAATATCAATTTCTAAATCCTTACAGTATAACAATGTAAAGAAAAATGAATGTCCTCCCCTTTCCTATCACCAAAAGTCAGAACATGTTTAAAAACTTCTATCATTACCTGATGACAAATAAACCTAAAACTACCATACACATCAATCTGTACTCCACTTGTAGCAATATTCAAACAACAAAAAATTATTAATTAATTTAATAAAAGGTTCTATACCAATTACAGCTTAATCTAAATTCCTTTATGGAGCATTTTAAAAACTTAGCTAATATTGTTCATTAATAAATAAATCAATTAAATTCCTGATATATTTGGATATCCTGAATCTTACCGTGTATTTAGATTTTGGATATTAGACCGTAATAGGTAAAAGTTCAATTTCATTTTTTTCAGTTCTATGACCACATTCATTCTGTGTCAGAAACCTATGCTGTGTCAAATATTTAATCACAATCAAAATACAGAGCTGTGTCAAGCTTCAATGAGGAATGTTGTATCCATACTTGCCCCAACTGTTCAGGGTTCAACCTCTGTGGTCGTATCAAGCTGCACCCCATAGAGCATTTTATTTAAAACTAGATACCTCAAAGGTAATTGTGGCCAACTTTGGTTACATTTGGCCCAGAGGAG